GTGGGAGAGAGTGGCTTGTTGTACTACCATGTACGAGGAAACGAATCTGCAGAAGACCGGGACTGGATCATGAAGTTTGTTGTGCCTGAGACCCTCCGACAAGACGTGCTACACCATTACCACGCGAGTCTAGAAGGCGGGCACCAAGGTATAGGCCGAACGTACCAACGCGTACGACGGCATTTCCACTGGCCGGGACTATTCAAAAGCGTACAGCGTCATGTCGGAGAGTGCGTCGACTGCGAGACTGGCAAAGGCAGACCGACAATTCAAGGCGAATCTCCTGGGAATATCGTAGCGACGTATCCATTCCAAGTGGTCGCGATGGACCACATACCGTCACTGCCCGCGTCACACAAAGGGAACACAGAGCTGTTAATCTGGGTCGACCTGTTTACGGGCTTCGTCATCACAAAAGCAAGTGCGTCACGGACTGCGCAGACGGTAGCGGAGTCGTACGAGGAGGCCGCGCAGACGGTAGCTGAGTCGTATGAAGAGGCGGTTTTCAGACGGTTCGGGGCTGGTGAGGCCATTCGCCACGGCCGATGTCCGATTTCTTCAAGGCCTTCAACAAACTCATGGGTCAACGACAACGAGCGACTCTCACGTATCGCCCACAAGCAAACGGGGCGGCGGAGCGCATGGTGCAGACGATCACGAGGGCCATCAAGATGTACATCGCGGACAACGACCAGCGCGACTGGGACGAGTACGCAGAACGGCTCACCTACGCCCTGAATACCGCCCACGATCGAACACGGGACGAAACACCGTTTTTCCTGGTGCATGGGTGGGACCTACGGTCCACCCGGGAAGCGACGCTAGCGATTGGTAACACCTCACATCGAGACGTAGGAGCTAGGCGATGGAGAATGCGTATACAGCGCCACTACAAAACCGCACGCGCACAAGCACTCGAGTTGACCCGCGAAGCAGTGGACACGCGGGCTACACTGCAGAACGCGCGCGCGACGGAACACGCAATACAACGCGGATCCCAAGTCTGGATGTATCTTGATCGAGTCAAGCCCGGGTACGCGCGCAAACTTGCGCACCTGTGGCACGGCCCGTTCCGCGTCGCCGAATTGGTGAGCGCGTACGCCGTGCGTCTGGAGACCAACGGAACCCCATACCAATCGTTCCCAATCGTGCACGTCTCGAAGCTGAAGCCCGTCCGTGAATTTCCGTCGCGACCTGAGTTGCGACTGACGGTGCCAGCGCAGAAGCGGTTTGACTTCGACGAAAAGCTCCTCCCGGAGGACAGCTGGGAGACGCACGATGCGGACGACGATCTGTACGAGGTCGAGCAAATCCTAGATGTACGCGATGGTCGCACAACGCGTTATGGACGAACGCGGCGCGAGTTCCATGTGAAGTGACGAGGATATCGAGAGACGAGCTGGGTGGATGAGCTGGACTTGAACTGCGGAGGACTCTTGTAGTCTGATCTCGCTTATACAGAGCGCACGATGACTTGGTGCCGTCTGCTGCGGGAAGCTCGCGCTGGTCGAGAGTCTGCACGCCTGGTCCGCGACGCGCTCGTGACTCGGTTGAGCGACATGGTGACTGCGGTGGGCGGCTCTCTGGACGTCACTCAGCTTGTGCGTAGCTTGGAGAGCCGGGTCGAGGCTTCGACTTACGCGACCACGCCTCTTCCGCCCGACCTCGACCCCGAGATAGGACGTGCAGCGGCCACGCTCTCTGGACTCCCCGCGTCGACCGCCTCTCGTTCGACTACAGCGTCAACTGCGGTTCCCAGCTCTTCTGCAGCCTTTACCGTGGACGCGTCGACATCTACGGTAGTGCAAGCATCCTCTTCAGCGCAGGACGATCCTGCGGTCTCTACCGCGGGCGCGTCAGTATCTACGACGCCCGCGTCTCCGGCTGTGCCCGCGTCAACTTCGGCGCAGGGTGATCCTGCGGCCTCTACCACGGGCGCGTCAGCATGCACGACGCTCACGTCTCCGGCGGTGCCCACGACGTCGCCCCCACCTACCGCGTCGCCTGCGTCACCGTCAGTTCCATCTCGCGCCACTGGTCCGGGAGGGCCTACGCTTTCCAGTCGAGGTGGTCGTGGGGCTCAACGCATACGTCGCAGCCGTCGTTCGTCGACGATTGCAGACACCACTGCGTCGGACAGCGCAGCTGCTCACTCGGGTGGCCACTCTTCTCCTACGGCTGATTCCAGTCTCGGGCCACGCTCTCGCACGACGTCTCCGGCGTCCTCTGGCGCAGATTCTGATGAGCGTCCTCCTGCGCATCAACGGCGTCGGCTCACGCCCCCGTCGTCGGATCTCGTTTCGGATTCGACCGAGGATTCGGCACACTCGCGTGCTTCTGGTGGTGGGCCCGTGACGTCGGGCGGTGGTCGTTTGTTCTCCAGCGACTCTGACAGCGACGATGGCGCGCATAACGGGGGGCCAGCGGGCTCTCCACGGGCTGGTGGTGTTGCGCCTGCTATGCGGCCGTTCTTCACCCCAGTTATTCCTCCATTCCAGCACCGAGCTGAGTGGACGCGGCGCCGTTATACTCCCTGGCCTCGTGCTCAGTGCTCTGAGGGATCTCACCCTCTCGTCTCTCACGGCGCGAGCTTTGCGCGTCGAGCACCTACCTCCTCGTGCCTGGATCTTCCCGACTACGTCGTCTCCCGTTCCGGCCTTCTGGGACCCAACGTTATTGACGGAGCGAATGGTGGAGGACTTTTACGCGACCTGTCCGTGGGACTATCTCACTCGTCGTGCTCAGCCGCTGGCTTTCGAAGTCCACGACACTCATTTTCAGCCTTTCGTCGCGCGCTACGAGGTGCACCTGGATCTCTGGGCCCAGGCGTACAGGGAGTCGACGCATGAGTTCCCGGTGCCGAACACGCCCGCGTGGACGCGGTGGTGCCGTCGTCGGTATTTGCGTCGGTCCCACGCCGGTGACCACTTAGTGGGTACGTTCCAGCTGC